ACTACTTGAAAACAAACGAACAGAAGAAAAACCCCAGAAAGGCTTTCTGATGCAGGGAAATTGAAAACCACATCAGTGGCTCTTAAGCAACTGCTTATGCACAGGTTTTTAATCCAAATTCAATGAGAGATGGCCTTACTCGCTTTTAATGCCGGGGTACTTCAAATTACCTGACTTTTCTTTGAGACTATAGAATTCATAAGTAGCAACTTGATATGCCACTGCCCATATGGGTACCATTTTACAGCACAAGGTAGTTTAGGGTGATTCAGCCTTAAATGAAAGAAAAGCGTGACCTTTAAACCATTTTGTTTTACTAGATGTAAGATCCATAGGCAGAATCGATAGGGAAACTGCCAGCTCACGTGAAGTAACTGCTGGATGGACACTTATTCCGTGATAAATAATGAGGCTCATTTTTTTGATGAGGACAAGCTATTTCCAGTTACCTTACTCTTATCACTGATCAAGAATAAACATACAGACAGTTATTCTGCAGTATATCACATATCTGTTAATATTTTTATGTATCCAACCTCCCAGCCCAGGTGTTACAGGAATTTTCATAATGTCCTACCCAAAGTTAATGGGGTGGCTCCAGCCCTTTTACCTGCCTTTTTCTCCCAAAGTCCTCAAATTCACCAAGCAAGAACTCCTAGATGAAGTCACAATCTTAACTAAACTGTCTTGTATCTTCAAAATGTTATAAGAATCCTTCTCTTAGTATCGTAGCTCAGCCTATTACGCTAAGATAAATGAGCCTTTGAAAATAATTGGAAATTGGACCCAGCTAAAGTATTTGGAGTGTGCTTTGGCTATTGATTCAGTATTTTTGGACAGTGTTCAAAGGTACATGGCTGTTACTCTGCATGACACTGCATATCTATCTGGCTCAGAAGTTTAAGACTCACTGGGCAAATTTTCTGATAATACAGCTGATTATATCTGTAGAGTTCTAAATCAAACCTGAAAACAATAGGGGGCTGCCTAGGAGAAGGGATTTTCTTAGATTCTGTTCAATACAATCCTGCAGGAAAAACTGTAGCAAAGCTACTAACATAAACAAGAATTTTAAAAAATGCAAGCTCGTAGCCTAAATGGAGAGTAGGTAAATGAGCTGATCAGCTTCAGAGCAGCAGGAAACAGAACAAGTGGATATCTATCCTAGGGTAAGAAATGAATACATAGATCTGTTTTGTTGTAATGGTCTAGCTAACAAGACTCAGACAGGAATACTAAAAAAATAAAGTAGCCCTAGAGTTAGAAGAGGTCTGAATTTTTATCCAAATAGCAAACATCATGGTTAAAACCAACGCTATTCAACAAAAGCAGCTATCACAAAAAGGCTATCATTCAGCAAGAGCTAAGTATATGTATGTAAATGGTATTTACTTCACTGAGAGTAGCATATGCTCAGCACCTCAGAGGATTCATTCCAATACAATGGTGCAACTGATTATGGAGCAAATATACATTACATTAAATAAACTAAGGCAAGAGACAAAGAAAACTATTTTGAATTCCTTTTAGTCTCTGATTTTATTGAAGGAGGTTGTTTATTCTTAGAGGGGAATTAGAAATTGAATATTCAAATTTAAAATTACAGAAATGTATATCTGTTTATGGACCAAGGTCAAAGAGACTTTTATTAGGAACAGGGATATCATCTACACAGATTAGAAATATTTTTAAATCTTTTGCATTATTTAATATTAATTCCTTTTTGCTTTTGTCTAACTTCCTCCTTACCCCTGTTCTTTACTTTCTTCCCTATAATCTTCTTCAAGTTTACAAGGCTCTCACTGAAGAACAGGTATCACATAGTTTTTCCTTATTTTACTTTTTAAAACTCAATTGGAATCAGGAATTAAGAGTCTCACCTTGCAACATAAAGGGCCAAGTCAACAGATAGTCTAAATTGGCCTTGCTCTATTGATATTAATGAGGTTAGGCAAATATGCTAACTCTCAATTGCCAGATCTTGCTTATCTGGTGAAAATAATTTTTCTATCTGCATGCAGGGAATTTGATGGGAAAGATCAAAGGAGAGAAAAAGCTGGAGGAAAAGGAATGGAAGAAAGAAAGGGAAAAACAACAATGGGTTCTTTCCTTTACCGAAATAATTTACACTTCAGGAGTGTGACATTTTCTTACTTTTTGATCTGTTTTTCTATTTGCAGCAAAGTCAATGATGCCAAAAAGAACCCCTTCATATGCTATGCTAGTATTGTTACCGTAAGTAACCAATCTATAGAGGAAAAAGCAAACAAGATCGGCTTTATGCTTATCTTCAGAGATAAACCATACCAAACTACTGAATCTTGTGGGAAAAAAAGAAATAGAAGTTTCACCAAAAGATATATAGCATGTTATATGTTATGTACATAGTATTTTTGAATTTTTTGCAACACATTTTTCTCTAACAGAACTATAAGAACTGTGGGGTGGCTTTCATCTGTCTTTTAGGTTTTAATTGGTTTTATGTCTCTTTCCTTTTTACATAAATATACATATGCCCACACATAGATTCATACATACATACGCATACATTCATTTCATTTATAAATATTTACTAATATTCTTAATAATGCAAAAACTCAAGCAGAGATTGTAGTCCCCGTTATAGTTCTGAATCGTAACTCATCTTTTGGATCAATCTGAATTATATTGTGGTTCTTTGTAAACACAGTAGTAAATTACAATCTTGTAATAATCATCCTGGTGCTTGATATTAACATCAAAACACTTCAATATAGTGCATTCACATAAACTTACTTCTGTAGTCATAGGTTGGGAAGCTTGAATTCTGGATTTCTATCGTACTTTTAACATTGTACTGTATGCAAGTTGCCAAATAATGGTATTTCATTTTAATATAAATAAAATACTGCTTATTTGTAATTGGCTATCCAAGAGAAAATGAAGAAGAAGATGGAAGCAGAAGCAGCAAGTAGACAAGCAGATGTAGATGTGCACTTGGATACCAGATCTCTGGATAGCAAAGGAGCATACAGTACCCAGCACCTTGAAGATAAACAGCTTGGAAAACACTATCAGGAAAGCACTGTACTAACTGTGTTATACCAGATAACAAGATAACGCTCTCAAAAAGGGATGCACAGGAGTTCAACTCTCTATATCCCCTCCTGTTCAGAGCAACAGCAGAAGAAGCAAGCTGGGCAATCTTAAAATTTTCTGTATGTCAGTACTACTGAGTCTTTGGAACAGACTCAAATAATTTCTGTGGTTGAAGCTAGTTTTGCCTTTGTCTGCAACTGACGGTAAAAACCCAACCAAACAGAAACACAATGGTGATGAAGCCTGGTAAGCAGCAGATGCTAACAATGCCAGACTGGAAATGATGAAGTCAAGCGGTTCGGCCACTTAAATTTCATAACAGATGGTGATGTTCCAGTAACGAATAGATGCTAGAGATTCACAATGGCTTATTCAGCATCCACATACACTGAATAAAGAGACTTGAAAAAGAAACACACACAACCACAAAAGCCAAGCTGGTAGAAGCACTGATTTGGGTAATTGTTATAGATAGATGAATATGACAACTCAATGGGTATGAAAAGCTGGACCCAGATGGCAGTAGGTAAGAAAAGATCATAGCATTTACTATGCAGCACAGCTGTCAGCCATACAAGGACAGATCACTCCATTAATATCAGGAAAATGGAAGAGGATCTTTTCATTGCTGTGGGAAGATCAAGGTATTAAAATTACATATGTACATACGTCAAGAAGTGAAGACCAATTGCAGGACAGACACAGGAACATTTAAGCAGCTCCTTTTAGGATTGCATATGACTTCAGAATGTTTGATCCAAGAAAGCCTGGCAACTGTTTAAGACCTTCTATAGTGCTTTGCAAAAAATCAAAATGTTATGCAGTTGAGAACATTTGATCTGACTTCTGATATGTTTGAGGAAGGCCAGTGATTTCACTGGGGAATCTTATGGATGAAATGAAGGGCACAAGTTAGTTGTCCTAACAATCTTCGTACTTGATTGGGCTTAAACAATGAAAGGGTGCTTTTTCAAAACCGCATTTGAAAACAATCTTGTTTCAAGTATCTTGGGTCTCACAAATTGCCATCATTTTGAAAATACACTCAGGAGAGTGAAACTTTATACTTTTTCATACATATGGTCTGTATTGGAGTTACAAGATAACAAAGGTGTCATGGGGCTAATACCAGAGAGATTAGTTAAAAGAACAAAACAAGAAAATCATGAAGAGCAGCAATTTGCTGCTGCTTGGTTCTAGTAATCTCCCAGAGGCACACAGTCCGACATTAGGAGAAGGAAAGAAAAAATAGTTTAAGAATGTAGAAAACTCAATGTTTATAATATTACTGCTGCTGCACATTCCTGTCTTTATTTATAAAAAAGATTGTGTGTAAAAGGTTCGTAGTGTTCATTGAAAATAACTGAAATAACTGGATGGGAATTAGTGTCTATATCATTGTGCTTGCCAATAGTATTTGAAAACAGCACATGCATCAAAAATTAAAATATTTTGCTGGCCTTCCAGAGTTTTTGCTAAACCTAGTGTGCATTGGAACCTGAGTGAATGAAATCCCATTAGTCATCACCATCTTAACAATATGCACTTCATACAGAGCTGGCTTCTGCACAGAGGAAGGAAATTACCAATACTAACAAAGGAAAGAAGATTTATAATGAGCAAATATACAAAAGCTCCAAATAATTATAATATTCACAGCTTGGCAATGGCTTTCTAGGCTATGAAATTCCTTTTCTTTTGGACGAATGAAGATTTTACAAGGTTAGTATAAACAAAGGGTAATTGGAAAATCAAATTGCTCTACACAAGTTATTGTAAGGTCTGGAATAATGGCGATAAAATTTTAAAAAGCTTGCTTATGAATCACTGTATTTTTGTTCTGTACATTACTGCCGTCAAAAATGCTCCCTTTCAAGTGCTACATGGGAAACATAAATGGCTAAATACAAATACCAGCTTACCCCTGATACAATAAGTTCTCCTCCCAGGTTCTGAACTTCTGCCTTCACTTTGCTGCAGATATTGAGTTGGTGGCAGTAGAGGGCAATGCGCTGCAGGTATGCAAGCAGATCTTGTTTGCAGGCTGAGTCTGGGCACTACAACAAAAGAAATATTTGATTAGATGTAGCTGAGTTTATATGATTATAGAGAGGTAGTCAGAGGAGATAGCGGCAATGTGCGTGTATTTGGTGGATCCATTTCACTTCGTCTTTATGTGAGATATTCGATGAAATGTGAAAATTCAAACTCCACCTTTAACTCAAGACTCATGAACTGTAACCTCAAGATGCACTTTTTGTAAAAAGAAACCTCTCTGTCAGCCACTAATGAAAGACAATGAAAATAATATGATTGCTATGTTTGTGGGGGAGGTTCCCTTATGATATCAGTTTGTACAGAACAGAAGAATCTATTGAGCAACCAAAAGACAAAGTTTGACCTGAAACTCCAGGTTGCCTGTTGGGTGTCCGGGTTAAGATACAACATGGACCAGTTAAAGCCCAGATACACCCAGTTCTGACTAATTACCTCCACTCTAATGCCAACTCTTGACTGTCTTGCCAGCTTCCCTGGCATTTGTGCAGACCTTCAGAGGACACAACAAAAGCCAGGCCCCTTACTGACACACTAAGGACTCGAGAGGCAGAGGTGAGGCTGCTTGGGTTTGGTATTGACAGATCTGGCAAGCTTATTGTTAATGCATAAATACCTTAATCTGTGCCAGAAGAAAATTATTTACTAAAGTTTAAGTGACATAGTACAGAGCCTCTCAGAAGATGACATCAGTATTGCAGCCCTGCTCAAGAACACAATGAGTTAAGTTGGTCCCTCTGCATGTCTAAGGGATACCTCTTCGTATTAGAGGGAAGGCTATATACAGTCCTGTGCCATTTTGGATGCTGTGCATCTCAAATGTGTTTTGATACAAATTACATACGGTCAAACATGGTAGACTCAGTGAAGGTTTTATAATCCATATAACTATAAAAGGCCCAAGTACTATTTATTCATAGTCTTTGGGACTCTTAATAGAAACTGCATCATCCCCCACAATATCAACAGCATAATAAACAACAGTCTTGTAGTTAATATTCAAAGTCTTGCTTCAAAAGTACGGACCTCAGTAATTCACTCTGATGAAACATTGCTAAAAGGGTCCATTGCTAACAGCATGTCTCCGATAAATACTCTTTGGGGCTACCCAACAGTGTCTGACTGACAATGTTCTCTGAATGTATAGCTTGGGGAACAAAGATTCCGAATATGTCTTTTTAACATCTTAACAAAGTTTATGTTCAATTTTTGTAAAATATTATCAGGGCACTTCAACAAAAACTGATAGAATTAAACACACACGAGTGAACAGCGTCACAACCTCTGACTTGAGATGACTGCTCTAGCCCCAACAGCTAATGCTGGCAAGGAATATGTTTGCGGTGAAGTAGTTGCATATACTGTTGTCTATAACCCTGAGAGCGGACGCTTTGTTTTTTCCTCTCCCTTTAAAACTAACAATAAACAAAGCTGGAGGTTCATTGTGGCTGTTACGTTTAATCTGCTCTATACTTATGGCAATGCTATAATGCCTCTCTTTCTCAGACAGTTGCCACATCTTTCAGGCATGAATCCCTAAGAGACCTCTTCTCCCTACCAGTGACAGTTTAATACAGAAATATTTACCCTACTCTTGAAGTCTATGAACTGAAAGAAATGAACTTTAAAGCAATACTTCTAGAGAGCTGACAAGGCTTTAAATACAAGTACCTTGGAGCAAATGAAAGTGTAAGATCTCTCTCATTGGAACAGTAATTAAAAATGCAACTGTCCATAAAAAGTTTATATTGCATGAGTGTCTCCAAAGTTCTGTAAAATATCATTAAAGTGCAAGCATTAAAACAAACACTTAATTCTCATAGTGATTTTAATGTTTATTTTTAAAAATTCTCATAGTGATTTTAATGTTTATTTTTTCAGTGTGCATGTTACAGCCTTCTGAAATTTAAAATGTGACTCAAGCCAATGCACTCTAAGCATAGCAAGTCTCTTTGTGTTTCTTTCTTTAAAATATTCCATGTCTGCAAATATTGTAGACTAGGAATTTCATCAGCTGACAGATGGATTTCTTCTCTCTTATGCTAAAATGAACAGATGCTATATTTGAAGGATTGGAATGGGTTAACGACAGGAAAAATGCTTACTGATAATGAAGAAAACCTAAACCCCAAATTTCTGAGATTATAGGAAAATGGGCAGCTTCAGGTTTCTTGCCACTCTGGCCCATATTCCCTGGCAGGATGTGTTACACACTGTTACATGCTTACTTGAGGAAGAAAAAGAAATAGTTATTTTGAAGAGAAAGACTAGAGGCAAGGAAGTTATCAGTTCCCACATCCAGCAAAATTTCTTCTGATGACAATGAAAGGAAAGAAACTATAGGAAGTTTACAAAGGAAAAAATAGTCAAATTTAATTTGCCTAAGTCTAAAATTAGCTACCTAGAACCTGGACTTGAAATTTGGCTCTTGACTTTTAATATGATGCTTTCTCTTGCTCTCCAGATGGATAGATAATCCAATCTGAGCTGAATATAGCAAGTTCATCTTTCCAGTTGTGACATAAATTTGGTAATGGGACTGAGGACGCAGACCCTAGAACATGGAGCAGGGGGCTGTAAGGTGAAAGCACAATACCCTGACGCAAAGCAGAAGAAAGGGAGTCAGGCAATCTTGAAAAAGAAAAGTGCCATATCAAGGGAAATTGCTGGAAGAACAAGTTGAAAAGAATATAAGGATTCCTAGGCATATGGCAAGGGTAACAGAGCATCCAAGTCTCTACTGCTTTCATGACAGCAAATATATCAGTCTAATTCTAATACAATCACCTGGGTCCAGAAGTGAGGCTGTGGAACAATTCAGGCATTTCTGAGGTTGAGAGAGACTCATTTATGACTTCCCTGTACTGCAAAACCCAAGCTGATTGGTATAGAAGAAACAACTTATATTCAATGGGTAGATCAGTATCCAGGCAGTGACTTTCAACAGGTAATTTTCTGCCAAGTAAAGATAACCTTTTCCTGCAAAAGGGAACTCATTGTTAGAGGTTACATCATATTTCTGCTCATTTTTGTTGTTACCTGGTCAGCTACTGCCCGTGCCAATTTGTCCATTCTCGATCCTGCCTCTGCAATCTTCTTGGCCGCGTTAATGACATCTGATGTATTCTTCAGGGGGCCTTTACCTCTGCAAAATACAATACAATTATGCACAATCTAAATAAATCATGAAAGGCAACAGTTTTAGTGACCCTGTTTAGTGTTTGATTTTAAAATAGTAACACGAATGAATTCTTAATTTGTTACAATTTCACCTTTTAACTACTTTATAATACAGCTTGATTAAGAAATCGGTCTGCTATATTTCCTCTCTCTTACAAAATGCCTCACTAGCAATTTAGTCTGATGGTGCCTTCAAGCACATGAGCTATACTTAATAGTATATGCATTTTTAAGTGCTCGTTAAGACAACATTCTTTCTGGAATACACAACTATTTCAAAATTATGTTATTCCCAAGCCAGTGCTAAATGTTAAGCCTGTCACGTCTAGAGCAAGAATGTCGCATTTTAGAAAATCTTTTTTAGCAGATTTTTGTCAGAAAACAGATACGTGAAGCATAATCCTTATGTTACACTTAAATGTTACACTTAAAACGTATAATTAGCTTTAAGACTGATCTTTCACTATACTTTTAAGATGATGCACAAAACTCTGGTTTTAGTCATTAAAGTCACCAAATTGTATATACACAAAAAGTAAAAAGTCACTGCAGACTTTTCTGAGTTTGCTTCAGACCCAAACTTTAATCCTGTTTGTAATAATAAATTTGCTCGTGCTCCTGAGAATGGCTCAGTTGGAAGTGAGCTGATTTTCCTTTTTTTTTAGTTTTTTAGAGACATGTGGAGAAATATAGCTTCAGACAAGACTGATGGAAAGTCATAATATGATCAAACAGGGTTTTTTAAACTAAAACTGAAGGCATTTTTTCTAAGGACAACATATTTTTGCATTTTTTTCACCTATAATGCCAAGAATAACATACTGAAACATATTTCCATTTTTATGTTCTTTCCATACTTTCATTTCAACGTTAAACAGATATTGAAACGCAAGTATCCTGCTTTTGTTGAACTTAAACCATAGCAAAAATCCTTCCTAGTGACCTCGTATGCTTCTACATTAATTACATCAGCAGATCTGACTGTCACAAACTCCATGCATTTGAAAAATTAATGTATTTTAACACTGCTGAGGTTACAGTCAACCAAAAAGGTGTGAAAGGTTTTGTTCTGTTTTAATGGAATATATTAAACAAGTTTTTATTGAAACTGATGTAGACAGAGGTGCACTTTGATTTTTTTTTTTTAATTTACTTCAAATGTGACAGTAGTTTTCTCTCATTCTCATATTAGTTCTGTTCTTTTGATGGTAGAAAATGTAATTACAAAACTTTCAACTTGATGTTCAATGTATCAAAGGTTGTCCGGGAGGTTGCAGAAAGTGTTCATATTCTGGGCTGTTGCTTTAGGACATAATTTCTTCCTTCCGTGAAATTATGTGACTGTTTGGACAGTTTTTCACTCTTTTTTTGCGCAGAAGGATCAGAGACCAAAGACAATACAAATACAAAAGTAATTAAGATTCCTCTAAAATATCACCCTTCACAGGAGGTTCTACACTGCCATTTGGTATACAGGAGTGGTGAGTCTACTGCAAAAAGAATAGCTGTAAAAGCACAAACTGAGAGAAAAAAAAATAAACTGAGAGAATAATTACTTGGAAAGAAGTATAGTAGCAATCTATTAAAGTACACAAACTTTCTATACACATAATGAAATTTAAAATGGATAAAAATGTTTGCTGTTGCCTGTTACTAATTAACTAACTGTGCAAGTGCAAATAGTCAAGTTATTTGCAAATTAATGGTATTTATGCACCACCACCCCCATCTATCTATCAGTCAGTCAGGTATGTGCAAACCCTGTATTGTCAATGCAGAGACTGTCTCCTCTGAATTGGGTTGAAGGCTCCAGACACAAGGCATGTGATCAGCTGGAGATTAAGAAATCTGAGCATCTCAGTGAGATGAATAAATAAAAGGATGTCTTATTTTAATTCTGAAGAAAAATATGAAGATTTTTTTTTCCAGTTTTGTCTAATCACATTTTGATAAATACCATTTAAACTTTTGAACTCCCATTAAAAATAAACACTGAAAAACCTTTGATTTTTTATCGTGATCTGTAATTCAAAGAATCTTGGTGTATTAACCATATGACTATATTTAAACAAACTAAATCTGTTTATATGACATCATTAATGAATGGCCTTTTGATGCTTTGCAATTAGAAAAGAACAAGGCATCAACAGAAAAAAGAAATGAAAGAAAAAAAAATCATTACTGACAGGCTCCAATAAAGTATTAGATCAAAACAGTTTCATTTCATTTGGGATTTTTTTTTGAAAATGCAGTGTTCAAAATGATATAAATAGTTTTGCCATTATTTTTGATTGACACAAATTGTGTTGAGATGTTGAAAGTTCAGAGAGGCACATGCATTTAGATGGGTACTAAATGAAATGTCAGTTGAGTGTCTGTAAGGTCACAGACTATCTTTGCTGCTGAATTTCAAGATGAGCTGCAAATAAAACAGATTTGCAAATAGGACAAAAACTTCATGTGACTAATCCCATTTGGAGAAATGTCCAGAGCAGTCACGTGTAGAGAACTTTACAACCCATCCCATTACGTATGATGTATGTTACCTGGCTTTGCATGCCCCAAAACACAGCACATCATCTCAGTAGACTATAAATTGCAACAAAAAGGAAAGATGTGGGGTGTCTGAAGAAGTCCTCAGCACAGGTTATTTTGTCCTTACCTAGTAAAGTCTGTCATTTCCATCATAATCATGCACATCTGCTTTGCCAACACAATGATGTCATTACCACTGTCATCCCACTTGGCCACCTCCGCATCCAGTTTGCTCTTTTCTTGGTGGAATATCTCTACCTGCTCGGCAATCTTAGCCTTCTCCTCCTGGGGAAGCTGAGCCATGATAGCCTGAAGAAAAAATGGAGGAGGTTGGGCATGAAAAAAGGAAGCTAGAAACTGTACATTTCCAGTGGTCCAAACGGCATGCCCAACTTCTAGTTTCTTTTCATGGGAGTTGAAGATGCCAAGCAAAATCCAGTAGACATTTGACTTCTGTTAGGACGGGCAAAAACAAATTCACAGGATGTTTATAGCTCTTCTTACAACTTCAAGAATTTAAAAATTATATATGTCATGCCATGATATAAAGATTATTCACCAGTCGATACAGGAATATTAAAGAAAACCCCTGTTAAATCTTAACTTTTAGGAAGAACAAAATGAATGACATCTATAGGAAAAGACAGACTGAATTGCCAGTATCTCCTCTGTTCTCATTCTCTGTCAGAAATGGAGGTTTTCTGCTTAACCCAACTCTAAAATAAACTATGACATGCAAGATAATACATTTGAAGTGAATTGTAATGAATTTACCTTTCAATAATATTTAGTGGTCTAATTGTCTCTTGGAAGATATGCAAAAAGGCACTACACAGGTTGATAATAATCTGTCTCGACATTATCAACAAAGCAGAAAGTTCCCCGCCCCCCCAAAGAAAAGAAAAAAGAAAACCCTACGAAATTATAATAATTCCTCTTGAAGATAAAATGGACACTTCCAATAATGATTTCCAAGTTGAGCTACTATTTGGCTTTAGGGGTTGTGAAGACCACATTATGCATTTAATGGGGTATGACACATATTTAAGTGTCATTACATTTTTTCTTGTTTATGTCACTTTCAATCAGCTGAAGTCTTTCTCTACATATTCTTAAAATGCTCTTGGCTTTTAAAAATTCATAATTGACCTTTTCCAAAACTGAAATTAAAAAAGGTTATAAACAGTAGATCAGAAAATGAGAAATTTGCAAGTTAATCAAATTAAAATTCACCACAAGTTTTAATTAGGCCATATCAATGTAACTCAGCAGTTTCAAATGTTAGCATATTAGTCTTTTCACAGAAAAATGCAGTGTAAGTCAAGCTAATAAATAAATATATAAAATACACATAAAACGCTAGAACAGATGAATTAACTGAAATTGAGAGAATGTGACAGGGGTAGTAAAATCTGGAAAGCCGATCTGTATGTCTTGCATGTGGTTTCTTTCTGCGGGCAGCTTCACCTGCACACCCTTTAAACTGGTATACAGTGTTTTAACATTTCTATTCCAGCTGCTGATGTGTTTTCAAAGAAGCTGTATCCTACAGCAAATGCAGCTCATGTATTCAGGTTTTATTTCTATTGAAGACCAACACAAGTCTTTCTACTGAAATACTAATAGCTTTATGGAGTAAGCATATTAAAAAAAATCCATAACTTTCCACAAATAAAAATCCAGCTTTTCTACAGAAAAGGTTCAAATAAGATACTATTCTGCTTAGCAGGCTCATTTCAATGAGTCACTCAAGACTGTGGACTGGGCAGCTTCTGCTTAGCATGTTTTCATTTTAGGTTTTCGTCGTTTGTTGCTTCTTGTGGCATATTGCATTCTACGTTATTCAGGAATGGGACTGTCTTTATAATATGTTTATACAGTGTGTAGCTGATCAAAGCAGAAAGTTTTAAGTGCAGCAGTGATAACTGCAATAAATGTAATAGAATTTAAGACTCCTAAGTCCCTAGGTGAACTAGATTCTCAGTAAAAATATTACTGCAGTCTTTACTTGGTTTTCAGATCAAGAAAGGATGATAAGCTACCCAATCCTAGATGTAACTAAAAAAAATAAAAAAGACTGTGAAATAACTGTATTGTATCTCAATACTTTTGTACCTGAGACTTACTTTCGTAGTCAATTCTTTCAATATATCAAACAGAACTTCATGCTCTTTAAAATATAAAAATCCCCCAAAGATAGTCAACTGCATCCAGAACATAGTTCTGTCATCGTTCTCGGGGTTAGGTGTCCAGGTATCATTCTGCAATTCTCCTGACTGCATGGTTTTCAATGCCAGTTCCTGGTCACCCAGCTCTCTGGCATGGGCCCTACAATCCACCTGCTCTTCATCTAGGTGATAATGATAAATATGTCATGTCCTTGATATGCAAGGACAAAAATTTTTGTCCTTGGGATGTAGTGATAGAAACCCAGCTTTTCTGATACATGGTATGGTTTATTTACCATCTGTATTCAATATTCAGGGAAATTAATTTAAGACAAAAAGAAACCTCTGCCCATTCCGCTGTATCTATGTCTCACATTCCTCCCATACCTCTAAGTAAGCTTCATTTAGGTTTTCATTACTGTTTCTGTTCAGCATTCAAAATGTTTGTGTCAGGCCCTAACATACTGTGGGTCTTCCTACAGCAGCTGAAAACTCCTCTTTCCTAGTCCTCTGAACTGATCTTTCAAAGCATCGTTGCCTTTTGGTCTTCAGGTTCTCAGCCCTACAAATCCTCTTCCAGAATTCAAGGTAAGAAGTCACCGTTCCAGTTACCAGCTTTTGCTACAGTGTTTGAGTGTATGTGTGGAGGATGCTTCTCATTTAGTCCATTACTTCACTTTTAGCACTTATTCAGAAGAAACTGCCTACCTGTGCAAAACAGCCATGAAAATCATTCGGGTAATTCCCAGTTCCCCGCTGGTTCTTTGCTGGAAAATTTTAAGTCTTTTTTTCAAACTCTCTTTCCAGTCAAATATATTTTCATGATATTTTTTGCCCCCAAAATTATATTCTGTTTTTTTTTTTTTTTAATAATCTGAGCTAAGCAGCCTATTTGGTAAAAGGTAAACATTCATCAGAGGGTGACATAATCCTGAGTGTTAACAAACTTCACTTCCCCAGCACCTGTGACCCCTGAAGCACTCATCAGCTTAATTTGCAATCCCCATGCACAAGCTGAGGTCGCAAATCACAATGACTCGAGTTTATCATGATGTAATTACCCTGGTAAAATTACATTGACTCAGTAACAAATGTCTTCAATTACAATTAAATTACAGGGACTACTCAGCAGCTTAAACAGATCTTCTTGACAGGTTTGCACACTGGGAAACATGACTAATGTAAGATTTCTCTGGATACAGCACATGGTGCCCTGATGGAATTTTTTTTTTTTCTTTTTTTTAATTTGCTGACTACTCCCACATTTTTCAACACATTCTAAACCTGCAAGGCCTTCTCCTACAGCGCTAGCTGGAGCAAACGGCTGATACAAGGCATCACATAAGCCTAAGGAAGATCGCTCAATAAAGTCAGTGCTTCTCAAATAGGTGAGACATGAAAAAACTTTAAACATCTAGGTCAGCTTACTCCCGTCCTTTCTTAAGTGATCCTGAAGATCTGAAATCACTGCATTTGCTTTTCAAGGCATGGCTTTTTATTTGTAGCTATACAGACACTTAATGTAGCATGTGGGTTTTATACTCACCCTTGCACTTTGGCCAGCAATAAGCTGGTCGTCTTCAGTCTGAACACTTGTTCGGCTGCGAACGTCATAATCTTCCTGCTCAAAGTCTGAATCATCCTCTAGCTCTTCAGGGGTCTAGAGAGAGAGAGAGGGAAAGAAAGCAAAAGAGAGATGACAAGCTTATAAAGGATACAGACAATGTCCTATGTACAGTAAGCTCTTATTTCATCGAATACCTGCCCAGGAAATGCTGTTTCTCTTTCCTTTTAAATTAACTTGTCTGCCCAAGCAGTCAAGAACTGAAATTGAATTGTCTTAAAAATTAAGTTGTTTCAACTCTAGTTTTCTTTATAAATGGCATTTATCATTACCTTGCTGCAACTTTTCTTAACATAATGAATGCAGTTCCAGGAACAACTATCCTTTGGACACACTAACAACCGGAATGCACTATTTCAAAATAATGTTATTTCATATATAAATGGACACTAATACTATTATATTACTGGAATCTCCATGTAATCTTCAAAAGAGAAAGTAAATACATGGGAAAAAGTAACAAACAACCTGGAAGAAAAAGTTATCAAAACAAATAAGAGATTTCCCCTTGAAAGAAAACGTAAATTATATCAGCTGGTTTTGAAACAAAGGTAAAGTTTATAATTGGCTTTATCTTGTTAGTTCACATGCTTCTTTTCAGATACAGAACTTTGGAATTTGCCTCATCCCCTAAACTGAAACCACGTTATCTCCATTGCTGGTGCTAGGAATGGTGTGAGGGTCTCTGGGTAGATTGATTAAATCTAGTTAGGTATATGTTGGCTTCAGGTTGTTTAAAATGTTGGAGGGAGGGAGAAAAAAGATAACTGATGTATCTGTTTATTTGTTTTTTTCACCTTCTAGCAAAACATTAGGAGCAAAAAAAAATTCCTTATGTATATACAAAGAGATAGCCTTCTTTAAATCACTATTTAGTACTATATTTAATATGGATGGTACAAAACCAGAAACAGTCTTTAGAAGGAAGATTATATTCCATTTTGTGCTTGAATAGCATCTAGTACACCAATCTGGCCACGAGTAACTTCTGCAGGTACAATATGTGATAGTGGTAACAGAAAAAGAAGATCACAGTAACTGTGCAGAGAAATCCTCACCTTACTGGATACCTGTAAGCCTCAGTGTTAACCTAGAGGGCCAACTGCTACAGAAGAAAACATCCATGCTTACATTTCATGCTTGGAGGCAACATCAAGTTTGCTAGCAGAGGTGCTAATCATTGCCAGTTGTCATTACAGCTCTGTCTTGAAGATGCTCAGTCACTAGGAACTGGTCCAAACCCTCTAACATAACGTAGAGAAGTCTTTTGGCGATATTTATATTACAACCTGGTTTCCAACATGAAGTGCACATCACTGTTTGTAACAGAAAATCAGCTGCTTTGCTAGCTACATGGTGCACATAACACGGAGAGTAAAACACAGCCATCGTCATTTGGCTTGAAGAGTATGAATTAAATACGTGTTTTGATGCTGAGCGCTGGAGGAAGAAATAACCAAGTATGACAGTATAGTAATGAAACTCAGGCTGCAGCTCTGAAGAGATGCATGTATAAATAGTGTATATAACAGGATAGACAGGAGGTGAAGTTTAGGTGAAAAAAAAAATTGTCTTTTCTCTTCTGTCACAGGAAAAAAAAGAGATTGGTACCCATCATTATGATGTCCAGTGGTCTTGCTTTCCAGTCACCTTTAATCACTCTATTCTCTCTGCTCAGCGGCTTGAGGGCAGGATGGGACTTTAAAATCTGCCATAAGCAAACCAGCTACTAAGAGAATCATACAGCTCCCCGAGCAAAAGAGAGTATTTCCCATCATAGAGCTCAGCTTTTCATCTGCCTAGGCTTTATTGTGAAGAATAGGAACAGGGTGGAGAGTTTCAACCCCTTCTTCATAAACCATCTGGCTTTTCCCCATCCTCCTAGTCCATTCAACTAGCCAGTTGCACTGGTCATTGTAAACCAGCACCCTTTCCCCTCCCAGGTATACTCTTCTTGGTTTCTTCTGTCTCCACTTTTATATATAAGACTATAAAAGATAATGTGCAGCCCTTTCTCAGGCTTTCATAATCAGGTTGCAGTAAAGTAAGGGCATAACATTCAAAATATTACATCTCAACACAAGGACATGAGGATGCCTCTTCAAAAGTTAAAATATTATGAAAATTCTATGTTTCAGGGAGTTATTCATAAAGAAACATTCAGAAAAATACATATTGCTGTTACTGCCTGACATTCATAATCTTAAAACTTGTGGTCTTTAAAAGATTGAAACTTAATGGGTACAGATGTTGAATGTGGAGAAAATGTACTGCAAACCAAAAGGACAAGTTAATGCAACTGTTAATAATATACTACAACTCAAGAAATCTCAGTATTTCCCCTCTGTACAAGTGAGATCTAATTCAAAACTAACTTTCAGATTCACTCACTTAAGGTTTTCAAGTGTGGAGAATTTAACACCCTCATTTTCTTCCCAAAATAGCTACATTTTTCATTAAGATGAAGAAGAGTAGTTAACTGTCATCTGTATGCTGCCATTTCAAACATGTTGCATGCTTTTCACTCTTGCACCATCGCTTTGTTTTATCTGATCTCTTGGAGATGCAGCCCATATCTAACAAGGTCTCCTATTTGTTTAGACACAAAGGTATAAAAAAAGAGATATTAGATTGAAGTACTTTGGCTTAAAGATTTTTACTCTTAGCAGGGCCTTCTAAACATACCATAACAACTCTAATTTTTGTGCACAACTAACAGGACCATGGTATTTAAAACCTAGTTTCCAAGACAACAATGTCTGGAACTTAATTTATCTGAGTTGGAAGACAGAAGGACTGAATCAGTCTTGCAGACACCGGAACCTATGGTCACACAGACGTAGGAAACATGGATCTGAGATTGGAGACAGCTTCCAAACAAAACTCTGACAACCACCAGTGGCAGGAAGAGCTAGAGTAATTTTTAAAACTAATAGATTTTAGGAACTCATTGATTCCAACAGAAAAATGGGCCATTTTCATAATTTTTAGTCTGTCTGTTCTATAGCACAGGCCATAAGACTTCCCAGGACTAATTTTTTTTCAAATACAATATCTCTACTACACATAAAGCATATTCTTCACTTCATTCATCTAATTCAGATTAATTCTCCCAGTGTAGAAGAATCTTTCACAATTCCAGATAAATCACCTAGTAAATATATACTTTCTCTTTTAAGATGCATGCCTTATTTCTAATGAATTTGGTGACTTTCAGCTTCCAGTCATTGGGATTTTTTTTTTTTTTTAAATATCTCTCTGGCTGCTAGACTGAAGATCTTGCTATAAACAAAGTATCTTCCATCAATATAATCTTGTTTAATGTTTTGTAACTGCAGTACAAAAATGTGAATTATGCATGTATAAGTCAGAAAATGGCACATATATACAGATTTATAAATGCTATTTGTTTAATATTTCACCAATTCAAATATACTTGATGAAGATAGAAACCCCACTATGCTATAGTGCTGTATACACTTAAAAACTGTAAGATGCAGTTATAAGAATTTCAGCACTGTAAACACTAAGTCAAGTTAACCTTGTAACGAGAGGAAAGACAGACTGAAAAGAGATTCCTCCATTTTTTACCATGAAAATACCCTCTAATTCTAAAAGCTAAGGAGAAAAAAAGGCCTTTAGAATACGCTTTTCTATTCAACTCCACGCTATTCTGTATATTTGGTTTTGTACAAAGGCAGTTGCAGCCTGAGTGACTCAGGTGCTGCAAGCAGTATCTCAGTGGCAAAGACAGAGAACCTCTCTCACAGCAGGTCTTCAGCTGTTTAATGAGTTACAGTAAAATCTAACACTCTAAATTCAACCCGAGAAGCAACAGGCCATCAATGTAGACACTGAACCCCACAGCACCCTTTGGAGATAGGCTATTTAAAAAGATGATGGGATTCTGCACCAAGTCTAGTTTTCCAGAGGATCTGAGATGTAGCAGCACTTTGGATTGCACCACAGTGGCTACCCCATAGGTGATCAAGGCTAAGCCTACATTGACAAGTGTGGAAGAGTAGAAGAGGATTCAGACATCCAAACAGCTGGTGCTAAGGACCCCACATTTGCACTACCCTTATTTCGTTTTTATTCGGGCTCGCTGTAGTCTGCTCCCATGAACGGAAAGTCCCTTAATGACAGAAGTGCATTTAAGACACTCCTAGAGCACATCTTCCAGGATCGCCCCAAAGAATCCAGTTTATATGCTCTGAGACTACTCGGTGACATGAACTAAAACTCAGCAAGCGGGAACAACTGGAGATTGGCTCCAAAAGTGCACTCCTGATCCAAACAAATGTTACACTAATGCTAACGTAGATGCAACTAACGGCGAGGTTGCCGATAGCAAAGGCCACGTATGGAAAGAGAAGACTGGCCTTGGAGATACATAAGAATGAGAAAAGGTGCCATTGTGATTCTTCCTAACTGTAGAAAGGGTTTCGGTCTAATAATGAGGGAATTTCATAAGTAACTATGAAAAAACCAAAGTGTAATTTGATCCCGATGCAGGAATTTAAAAGATGTTGGAACTAAGTTATTATTTTCTATCTTATTTTTAGGTTCTATAATTATACTCCTACATTTATTTATACTACTTCTTAAGTTGTGAAAGAGAGTTTTTTCTTCTCTATACAGTATAGTCATAGTCCCCAGTGCAAAAATGAGTCTCCTTTCTAATCCAAAGGAACAATAAAATCTCCCTTTCTCAAGGGAAAAGAGAAGAACAGCAATTATCCCTCTATCCTTCAGCTTACTAAAAGTAATAATACCAACAAAAATTAATTTAAAAAGTGGCTTTATTTCCTCCATGGAATGAGGGAATCATCTCAGATAAATTCAATCTTTCATGGCATGCACATGAACAATTACTGCCTGAAAATAATTGTTTGTGTCAGATGCTCTAAAAAGTTTTCAAGTTTTGACTTTGTTTTGGTTCGTTTTTTTTTAATAATTCTGCAAAAAGTTTTACGGCCTGAATTAAAGGTGTGTGTGAGATTTAATAGATTATTAGAGAAAAATATTCTAAAGACTGTCTTTTATAACTTAATGCTCACCCTTTAATTATACTTTCCATTTCAATGTGAGATGTCCGGATGGAAATGCTAAAGAGTGTTTCAAACTGAAACTAATTTTGTTTTCTACAGAAAATAAGGTTCTGATTCAGCAAATTCTGGTCTATGTAAGTTTATATATGTGGATTTTCCCAGTTAACTCACAAGGATAATGAGTCCATTTATGTCCTTTAGTTCTCTGCCTGGGTAAGGAGCACTACGTTTACCTCCATAAAAAAGTTAATTGAATGCAAAAATACCTCTTCCTAATCTGAGTAAACAGAATTCATTAACTCATATCATACAAGGAGCGGAAGGTAGTAGTGATACAATTACAAAAGTAACCTGGGATGTTTCTAAGGAGACTGCAAAGCCTGCATGCTGATCAGCTTTCCAAGCTAGTGGTTAATACAACAGTAAGACAGCAATGAAATAAGTGAATGTGCATCAAGAATTTAAAATGGTGTTTTGTGCTTAGCAGAAACATCTCAGCCAGTATGGACAGTCTCACGGCAACCTTTCTGGGACAGCTCTGATGTACAGGGGGGTGCTGGAAGCCAGAACTCTGCACAGTGGATGGGAAAGCATGGGTCTACAGCAGATCCCACCTGATGATTGTGTCACATGAAGCAAATTAAAATGACTCATGAGAGACTATGAAAGATTCAAATGTGCTTAGAAGTGGTTCTTGTCCTAAGAGAAGTTTGGAAACTGCTGTTACAGACTAAGGAACTGGATAATCAAAGGGAAAATGGAGATCCTTTCCTACGCAGATCTTTCGCTTCCATCCCAGTCCAGAAGAGCTGCAAATACCCCAATGTTGCAAACCCAGGAAACAGGGTGGGTTTGCCCCCATCATCAATCGCGACTATAATTCAGGCTACCTGAGATTAGCACTGGGTAGGGAATGGAATTTATGTTTCGCAGTTATAAAATTAAGCCTGTCGAAAGCTTTTTGTGCAAATGTTAATACATAGTGACAGTTGACTAAAATTAAGCTATTTTGGAGCGCTCCAACTTCCTGAAGCCTTACGTCAGTGCCATACTATACTCACAACCGCAAGTGTATGTTACCTGTTTGCTCAAAGGGATAAGTTTTGTTTTAGCACTGTTATTTGCTTCATAAGTTTTCTCTGTGGTTTTCACCGCAGCTTTATTTGTACGTGGCTTTCACTGGGACAAATTCAAGGTAATTTAGGTTTCAAGTAAGAGTTTCAATTGCTGAAGAGATGTCCAAACCGGGTTTGGTTTGTTGTTTTTTTTTTTTTTTTTTTTAAATCTTTGACTGTGGACTACACTGAAAAGCAAGACACACATCTACTCTAACAATAGCGATGTTGTTCTGTGGGTTTGGGGTTTTTTTTTATTTACTTGTTTTTTTAAAAGATGCCTAAGTAAATTGAATCAACTGGTTAGTCAACGCTGAAATGACACATTCTTTACCTCAGTAAACATTCAAAACCATCCCTGCAGAGGCTCACTGGAGCAGCAAAACAATTTACTTATTCATTTAGATTTTATCCAGACTTACTTCACATCCTAGGCAGCACACATACATTAGGAAAAAAACCAAACCAACAACATTCTACACAAACTTTGAAAGTCTTAGCAAATTAATGCTATTACTATAGAAACAGTAATGAAGTTTGCATCTATGGGCAGTTGTGATCAAATCTTCCCCTAGGTGATTAAGAAATTAATCGTGGTTCATCCCCTAAAACACTCTCATCTCTTTACTGACAAATTCTTTTTTGCTGCACATACTTTCGTTTCACGCTTGTTTCAATGTCAAGCTTTTCTGGTTTATTATGAAACAAAGTTGATTCCAAGAAGCTTTTATATTCCTCTCATCCAATGCGATACTTTCCTGTAAGTCCCAATCTTTATTTCCCAGGTGCCTTACATACCCTTATCATCAGAACAGCTTTCCTGATGTCACGAACTCCATCATAAACCAAGCGGGAGGCATCTATGAACTCATTCTCTTCAAATGGCTGTGGGACATTCGCACTCAAAGCTTCAATGGCAACCTCAACTTGTTCAGCAAAACGTGGCATAACTAGATTAAACAAAATGAAAGAGAGTAAGATTAGACACCTTCTTTCATGAACATTTTCCCCCTGCCCTTGGGCATAAACACTTTCCAGTAGACATGGTACCTACTGTTACAATTTCAAGACCCGGGAAGGCTCATGGCGTGGGTTTGTACCAACTCTACACATGCAGAGCTCTAGCACATTTTCTGACAGCATGAAAATATCCATCTTCATATTCTCTCCTCCAATTGCACAACAAAGAATGTAAAACTTCCTTTAAAAAGTGTGATTTACTAACTTTTAAAAGACTGCAAGCTATCTGAGCTATCAGCAAAGTACATTTAAAACCTTTACAACTTGAAATGAACACAGTACATATTTATACCAAATGATCAAAGCAAAATGTAGCCATTATGCCTACTAATTTAGATAACTAACTGCAGTCTAGTTCATACTGAATAATAATAATTGTATAAGGGACAAAACACGTTTAGAATGCAAAATCTAGCAAATTACTTTTGTGAAGGCACGTAAATGGACATTCTGTTTCTTCATTATCATCATTTATATAACACAAAAAATACCCACAGATATTAGCTAACGGTATTATAAACTGTTGTATAAGCTTTTTGAATACATCTCTTAAAGCAATTATTTACTTATGTAAATATTTTAAAGGCATTCCTTGAAGTAACCAGAGGCTTTTCTTCAAATTTTATACAGGATTCCTTTGACGGTATAATCATAGAATCACAGAATCATTAAGGTTGGAAAAGACCTCTAAGATCATCGAGCCCAACCATCGACCCAACACCACCATGCCCACTAAACCATGTCCCTAAGCGCCTCATCTACACGTCTTTTAAATACCTCCAGGGATGGGGACTCCACCACTTCCCTGGGCAGCCTGTTCCAATGTCACATATGCAGAAAGATAAATGTTCCCCAAATCAGTCCTCTAACAACTTAAACCCAAATCCTACAAAAGGAACATGAACATCAGGTCCCACTAATTATAATGCACCCATACTCCTGTACTTAGTTACTCCTATTCTTCAATATTTTAACATTAATATTGGAGGACTGGGCTCTCACAAACTACAGGACAAATAGAATTAATGCTTCATTAGAAACCTGGATACAAAATCCGTTGGGATTAATTCTTACAAATTTAAAGAAGTTGGGTCAAGCTTCAGATTTATAGATAGCCATCTTTTCATTATATTCACATCATTTTTATCATTTGCCGCCTTCTAGCATCTAGGTACCCAAATCATGTACCATTGGCTTCATTATTTTGGCATTATAATTAGAAGAAGAGGAAAAGATGATTCCTAACTCAAACACTGGCCTTTTTTGTTATAATATTGTCTTTCTTTATAATTTTTTAACTAGACCCTATTTTTAATACACTTTTTGGTAGCCTGAGCCAAACTGAATAATATAAAGGGGAATTTCCAATGTCGTTTCATCAAGAGCAGTGACAATCTTTCCTAGGAAGTAAATTTTCACTGTGGCAGGAAATCACATTTCCTTCTTGACTAAATGTCTTTAAATATATTTTACTCATAATGAAAACTATGTTTTATGCACCTTACTTACTATCTGATTTAAAGCAAAAGCACAGAAAAACATGATTCAAGACTAGTTTACATTTTGAAGAACAACTGGCAGCAACTACGAGCTTCACCTTTCTGTTTCTGGCATTTAAGTATTACTCACTTGATGTTAAAGGGGAATCCTTTAAAGGCATATATCTATTCAAATCTTGTTTATTCTGCCTATATATACATATATATATGTTTGTTCATGTACACAGATGAAAGAACAAAATTGTATCTTTCATGCAGACAATGTTCAATAAGTGCAATAAGTGCTTGGGATATACTGGAGAAAACAGGAAAAAGTGTCAGCAGCAATAGACTTAAAAAAGTAAAACATTGCTAGGCAGAGGGGAAACATTTTAAGTAGAAAAGGAGTTTGAGAGAGCTGGAAGTTTTGGAAGGAGTATTAATAAATGCATATATCAAATTATCTTAATTAATGGAACACTTGAAAGTGTAGTAGGAGACTAATATGATTGCATAAGGAAGTCTTTAGCCTGAAAATCAAAAAGCAATCATTAAAAATACAATGAAAACAAGTAAACATAAAGAGTAAAAGAAAAATTATTTAGGGCCGTAGGGATAAAACAAGTAAAGCTAGAGATACAAAAACGGCAACAGAAAAGGAGGCAAAGAACCCTAATTTTTAGGGTCCTTACATTTCTGTCTAGAATTTCCTATATAGCAGAGGTAGTCAGGTATTTAACATAATTAAAAGTAAGTGCAACAGACCTGAATTAGGAAAGGGCAGTTTAGAGACCATCTACATAGACATAAAGAAATGTATCTATTAAATATGTAAGGGCAGTTTGGAGACCAAATACATAAACATAAAGAAATGTATCTATTAAATATGTCTTCAGGTTAACAGAGCATAATAAAACTTACCCTGCAGTTCATAAGAAAATAATCAAAGCTGGTTTTGAACCACCTTTGAGAACTCAAGAAAAACAATAACAGCGAAGGTTCCAGGGAGTTAGAAAAAGAAGAAAAAGCACATATCTATTTATATAAAGGTAGAGAAGAAAAGAAGGAAGAATTATAGGATATTCAGCCTAATTTCAGTACCCAGAAAGAAAATGAAACATGATGTAAAGCAATTAATGTTTAATTATCTTGTAAATAATGAGCAGATGTCAGAAAGGCAACAGATTTGTCAAAATAGGTTGCATCACACCATTACATATTTTCCTTGACAGGGCAGCTAACTAGTGGGTTGGGAGAAGCAGTAGATGTGATACAGCTTGACTTTGGTAAGGTTTTTGACATGGCCACACACGACATTCTTAGAGGCAAAACAAGGGAAATGTAAATTAAATTACTGTAAAGTGGACATGGAACTCATGAGAAAAAGCATCTCAAGGAATAATTACCTGTGGTACGTTGTCAAACCAGAAAGATAAGACAAACGGATTTTTGCAATGTGTCGAACAATGTGATGCTATTGTAAAAAATGGCGAAGGTCAATCTAGAATTATTATCATATATAAAAAAAGACTTGAGAGAAGATACTGTGAAGTTGCACAGTGAGGCCCTAGTTGGAGTACTATGCCCATTTTTTAAGTATCCGACAGATTTTTGTAGTGCGTATATAAGAAAGATGAGAAAATGTTTTTTTTTAAAAAAAAAAAACATATTTTGTGGTTGTATCCAGACATCTATTTCTATGTTAAGGTAACATAATTTAGTCCAAATAACATAAATGTTTCTATTCTCTTTATCTAGAAGCTACTTCCAAATCATGTTTAAACTACTCAAATGAAGGAACCTCCACCAGCTCCTCAAGGAAATTGTTCATAGCCTGATAGAGTTCACTGCTCAGATTTTTTCCCCAAAAAAAGAAGATAAAGATGGTTATCTTAGTGACCATCACAATTCATTTTTTTTCTTGCAATATATATTGTAATTTGCATTTAACATCTAAACATTATATTTGGGCTACCATTATTGTTTTCCAATTTTTTTTTTTACTTGACCTATGAATATGAAAGCACACAGAAAAAGCAGGCAGGGATACATGCTGTATTTGTTATGCTAGTCTGGTCAAAAGGAGACCCTCTGAGTTGTAGACTTAGGCACAGAGATCTAGAAAGGAGATATAGAAGTGAAATATTTTAAGAGATTATGTACTTGCTAAATCAGAACTCCCCCCCATATCACGGAAATTGTTGTTGAAGTATTTAATAGGCAGCTATAGGGTCTTTGTTCAGCACCAGATCCTGCAAAATGTGCTATGATAAGAAACACTCGTCACCAGAAAGAAACATTTAATTTCTGAGAGATGTTTTAAATTCATACTTTTCTTTACTAAAACAACGTTAATGGACTTACAACCACCCTTTGCTTGAAATGGATGTACAAGAGGAACAAGTAGGTAGAGATCAAAGCAGAGCTCAGTCATCAAAGGAAGACAGGCTCTTCCACATTTTTCCATATTCTCTCTGTATGGGATTTTTTCCCCTTCAGCTCAGCCAATGAAGCCTTACACCAATAATCTTCTGGACTGAAGCCCCACAGGTCATTTTTCTCACTATGCCGCTGGAAAGATGCCAACAGTCATGACACCATTTCATTCATTCAAGCAGCAGCAGTAGTAGATTCATAAGCATCGGGCCGTGGGGAGGAGATGGAAAGATACATTTTGTTTGTTTTGGTGAACATTAGGCACTCATTTTTGACCACATATGTTACCACGAGGACTGCCCATTGGGTGGTTAAGCTTCTTTCAACAATTTTGACCTTGCAGACCTGGCTACACTTGAGTCCTTAATTTACATTTTTAGAATCATAGAATCATTGAGGTTGGAAAAGACCTCTAAGATCATCGAGTCCAACCGTCGACCCAACACCACCATGCCCACTAAACCATGTCCCTAAGTGCCTCATCTACTCGTCTTTTAAATACCTCCAGGGATGGGGACTCCACCACTTCCCTGGGCAGCCTGGTCCAATGTTTAACTACTCTTTCACACATGGACATTATCTACCGTTTCAAAATGGAAATAGCTATTAAACTATATTAGGAATTGCTTGCTTGCCAATTGCATTTTTACATCAGTGCTCATTTTTGATTAGACAAGCAAGAAAAAACATCTCAAACTAATAAGATGCTATTACTTATAGTTTCTCTAAGCATATGTTGTCAGTAAAGTTTTTGGAAAATGAGTTAAGAACTGTATTATTCTCCAGTTAAGGTTACTGGGCCACACTTGAGGAGCTCCATGACAGTGATGTATGGGGAAATACCTAACTCAGCTGCACCCACAAAACCTTCAGTCTTTCTTATCTGTCATTTACTGTACAAAGAAGGATATTCGTATGCCAACAATGAAATAGCTACAAGCAAAATTCAGGCAAAGGCATAAAATCTGTCTGGAGTTGAAACTGTAAATGCATCAGATAGAGAATGATGCATTTAT